CGCCCTTGCCCGAACCCCGAACGCGAAAGCCAAAAGCCCCGCGCCCGAAGAAAACCCCGCAAGTACTTCGGATCCGATACGGGTAGGTTTAATCCGGAAAGAKGATCATTTCCTGCGGATTAAACCAATTCCGTGGAAATCCGCCGAGTGTGATATAGAAATTTGGGGAATTCCTTACAATGCTATTATAGATTCGGGAGCGGATATGTTGGCTATTTCACTGAGAGTGGTCGAAAGGGCAGGCAGGAAAAACGACTTGATCACGCTTTCTRAGAAAGATCAGCTCGTTTCGGCTGACGAAGAAATAATTAAAACCGTGGGAAGAATGACCAATGTCGCTTTCCGATTGGGTAAAGTGCATGCGCTTGGGGATGTCTTAGTACTAGATGTCAATACGTAYGACGTTCTCTTCGGACTTCCCGCTCTTGTGGCGTTACGAGCAAACCTGGACTTCGAACAACGATCGATCGTCCTCCGAAATACCGGAGGAAAACCCTACGCTGTGCCCATGCGATTGACCCTTCGCACTACTATTAACACGGTTCCGCGGGTTTCGCGGATGATGGCAGGGACTCTCCGCATGATCTCCTGGGAGAAATCCGCAGAAGGAGAGTCATCAACAGACGATGCGRAAAGCAGTGACGAGGATGATCCRRAGATCTTGAAATTAGCAGGACAACGTGTTTGCTACCTGCCACCCAAAACRATAGCGRGAACAATGCAACTAACCAGCCAAAAAATTCAAAGSACCAAGRCGATGATCTTGGGTGAGCSCCTCGTGCAGATTTYGAGGATGGTCGATTCTTTGGAAYYCCCTCAAACTCTGTACGAAGGAATCACCCCTCTCCTCGCCCGGTACAGCGACAAGAAGCATTACTRTGACATTACGGATCTACMCAAGTCCTTACTAACTTSGGCTAAGAAGTGAGATTGTTACRCTTGGGGGYGGAAGCAAGCTCTCTGGAACCCCCTGGGCGTWTTGAAGCGGAAACAGACRGACTGGGGATAAAGATCGCAACTAAGGAAGTGCCATGGCAGGATGTTTGTGACGGGATTACCCCGGAAGGACACGTGGCAATCCGAGAAGAAGATGCTCATATGATGGCCAYGGTGTTCTCCTGGCGATCAGATCATTCATTCATCTCGGCGCCTCCACCCGATTTGACAAAACARRCGAAYACRAAACAGATAGACGTTCGGATCTGGGACCAACTGTTTGAACTGCACGTTCCACAATATGTGTYRGACGAAATCCACCGGGTAATTGCGAATATTCTAACGGAATATCAAGGAGCGATTAGTGTGTCAGACACTGAMATTGGGTYGTYGTTAGTAATCCAACACGAAATTYAGACARGAAATCACTCCCCGATTCATTGCAAACCTTATCGYTATTCCTTGATTGAACGCAAAAAGGCTCTCGAACGAATTCGGAAGTTCGAAGCCAGCRGTTGGATYGAACCCGCTACTGGACCTTGGTCTTTTCCGGTAGTAWTAGTACCAAAGAAGAACGGAGCGATTCGCATTTGCATTGATTATCGCAAGCTGAATGAAATCACGATCAAAGATGTGTATCCCCTCCCCCGGATTGATGATCTRTTRGATGCGATTGGATGCGCTAATTATTTCAGCAAGTTTGATATTCGGCATGGCTTCCATCATATTCTGGTAAGGGAAGAAGATCAGCCGAAAACGGCCTTTGTGTTGTTTGAGGATACGTGGCAGTGGGTTCGGTGTCCGATGGGGATTTGCAATGCGCCTGCCACGTTTCAGCGAGCGATGAACATGACGTTCCAGAACTTCGTCAACAAGACACGACTGACGCAAGGAATGATTAACTTCTGCGTGATCGTGTACATGGACGACATCCTTGTCTATTCGAAAACCTATCACGGACACGCGCAACACATCGAATGGACATTGGGTGCATTAAGAGACGCTGGGTTCAAGATTGCGCTTGAGAAGAGCGAATTTTTCCTCTTGGAAATCTCGTTCTTGGGCTATGTTTTGACACGTGGAGGATTGCGGCCAGATTCGAGAAAAGTTGCGGCGGTGAAGGAAGCTCCGATTCCTACGTCACTGAYGCAGGTTCGAGCCTTCTTGGGACTGGCGTCGTACTACCGGCRCTTCATCAAGGGCTTTGCCGCGATTGCRCGACCACTAACGAATCTGCTACGGAAGGACCAGCCTCTCAGCTGGGACGCGGAGTGCCAGCAGGCCTTTGCAACCCTTAAGGACGCTCTGGCAACGACCCCTATTTTGATTCGACCKGACCCCTCGAAGCAGTTCATTCTCATMACGRACTAGCAACCGGAAGCTATTTCCGCTTTTCTAGCGCAGAAGGGGAAGGATGGTCGMAAACACGTCATCGAGTATGCGTCACGAACCGTACCGGACGAACGAAGAAACGACTCYGCACCTCAGGGTGAGTGTTATGCGGWAGTTTGGGRAATCCAACACTTCCATCYGTATCTCTACGGACAGAAGTTTCGCCTCGTAACGGATCACRAGCCTCTGCTGRCGCTGAAGAAAMTCACCAACTACAYGGGCATGATTGGCCGYTGGGCGGTGCGACTACAASAATACGACTTCAATATCGTCCATCGAAARAYARAGCGACACGGCAACGYGGACAAGCTGACACGTCTGCATCGACCTGCCAAGGTACCAAAGGGCGAGGAAATTACACCGTGGAAGRAGCCGGACCTGACTAACGMGYCGAAGTACGGACAAGCGGCAGTTTGCCCACGTRGCAAGAAGCAAAACGATGGCGATGGGTGATGGAGGTAACCCCACTACCCCTCTTTCTCCCCCTTCCTCCTCGTCTCTCCCCTCCTTGCCTGACAAATTTTSCTATTTTTGCGAAGCCATCTCCCGYGTCTATTCAGTCTCCATGCGTCCTAACGRGGTGGGATATGTGGATTGGATAGATTGCCGACAGTGTGTTGCAYGGGCCCACGGCTCRTGCATCCAATAYAGGAACGATAGTAAACCATGGTTGTGCCCCTTGTGCCGGACCAACAAAATTCCGACCTAGGCTCGCTTTTTKGATGCCACGTCAGAAGGATTGGAAAAGACCCGAAAGTTTAGAAGGGCCRAAGTATGGACGGATATTGCCTTAATTGCCACCCTAGTAGGTAACCCCCTCMAGGATTTYACCAAGGAAGATCGGAGGAGGGCCAACGAAAGGGCTCGGGACTATCRATGGGTAGAAGGTAGATTAGAAAAACGRAAAAYGGACGGCAGTGGGATTTGGATGGTAGTGCCGCATCCGTTTATGCGGTATGACTGGGTTAAGACAGCCCACGAAGAAACTGYGGCTCATTTTGTTGTACGAATCACGGAGTCCGCTATCGACAAAAATGAGTGGTACTGGTCCAATATCCGCGACGATGTGAAGTACATCGTCGCCACCTGTCAAGTCTGCRCCGCTGATAARRCGYCGATTCAGCCACCAAGGTCGATAGTGCCCAYGGTTGTTGAACGGCCATTTCAGAGAGTAAGCATGGACACTACCGACATAGTGGTGCCCCCTGGCCCTAATAGTTGCGAATATTCAGTCCTATTGGTATTTGTCGACCATTTCTCGAAATGGATCGAAGCGTATCCTTGTTGCACGCGGCAAGCCACGAAAATCGCACGATATGTCAACCGTTTCCTCGGGATGCATCAGGATACGGATGAAATCCTGACCGACAACGGGGCTGAATTTAGGGGAGAAGTGTTAAGGAATCTGGTCCTACATGGCGTCGCCATACGGAACACTACACCCCTCATGTCACAATCCAATGGGCTGGTCGAAAACGCTAACCGGGTGATAAAGACAGCGTTGCGACGAAACATCGGGGCACGGGATCCGAGACCTTGGCCCGATATCGTCGATTACATCCTGGCAGTCCATCGCGGAACGCCCCACGAATCAACAGGGCTGAGCCCCTTCCGATTAAGGACCAATAGTGTCGCTTGCGTTTCGATACCAAACCTCCCGGATGAGTCTACATTGAACCGACGGCCCACCAGGGCCACAGCTTGGGACAAGGCCAAACGACACCTAGAGTTAATGGAACAGTCGCTACCCAGGCTAGCCCGAAAGCRACAGAAAATGACCGAACTAGCCCAGGGCCGACACCTCCGGAGCTACGAGGCCCGAAATGGGAATGCGGGTCCGCGGCCCCAGTACAAATTGGGGGACGTAGTGCAAGTGAGGAAATGTGCTCGCCAGGGTAAGCTAGCGCCACGATTCTTCGGGCGATACCGCGTGATTGAGCTCGGCCCCAACGGCGTGGACACTGTGCGTCTCGCCCCTGAAGTCTCTGGCAGCCGATCGGCGCGCCCGATCACCCGCCACGTGTCCTATCTTCGCCTCCTCCCCTCTGCTCCGTCCCCTTCTCCCTCGATCTCTCATTCYGAGGAAGCCGAAGACGACGACYCTGACTCTCCGCCATCTCCCTCTTCATCTTGCTCCCTCCCTGTCTCCCCGTCACCTTCGCCATCGCCATGAGTTTTCTGGAGGAGAAAGCCCTCAGCGAAGCATCGCTTGCGCCCCGTGATCGGTTGACGATCCGGCAAGTCCATCATCCCCGCCTCAGTCCAGATCTTCAGCGGCTTGCGCACTTCTTTCGCACGGAAGGCTTGTATGTAGCGGCGGTGTTCAGAATTGAAGGCCGTCYTGACGCGGTGGTACTGGCCGAGGCGGTAGCAGTTCATCAGCGGGCGGTGCCAGGTGTCAGTCGCATATCGACCGTCATCAACTTCAGTGGCGATCTCTCCACACTTCTTCCTTTGCGACATTCGGCGGTGAAGGTGTCGCTGCGCATGTGGGCGAACGATTTGGTCGCCGAGTGGACTCAGCTGCTGGCTCGCCCCGGGGATACAATCGTGACGTCACGAGCAATCGAATACGACGGTCTTCGGATGTACCAGCGCGATCTGCCGGCAGAGCTCCCTGTCCTCGTACCCTTCCCCCATCCCCGATGAGTCTCTCTCCGATCTCCGTTTTCGATGTCCCCTCCGCCTTCCCCACCTTCTGGCAGTTTGATATCCATCCTCGCCTTTCCTACTGTCTAAAGCCCCTTGCTGTCCCCGATATCCATCCTCCCCATTGGGTCCTGTGGCGCGAAGACTTCATCTAGCTTTCATTGTGCTTGGTTGAGATACGGCTGACGTGGATCGAGGACGAAGCGCACCCGCCTTGCGTAGAGCACCTGGAGTTGCTGTTCATCCATGCCTGGCGAACCAACGTGGAGGGAGAGTTCCTCGCATTTCTATTCGATACAATGCGGCCCGTTCATCAGAAACTCATCACGCAAGAGCTCACGATCTCGGTAGCGCAGTTGGCGGACGATCTCCCCCTCGACATCATCTCGCAAGACGACGAGCATCCAATTCCCCATGTACTTTCTCGCGCATTGACGCCCTATCTTCAGTGGTCGGCTTGTGTAGAGGGGGTCGCAGAGCGCATCCCGCCGTCATAGCAACAATACCTGGATCCCCGGACAGCTCCCGATCCTTCCTTCTTCAGGCATCCTACGGCGGAGCAGCTTGCGGCCATTCGAGAAGAAGAGGAGGAGGAAGAGAGTACCGGGAGTGACGAAGACGACGACGGACTGGAAGAAGGCGGGAACAGCGACGAAGAGTTCGGGGAAGAAGACGAAACCCCCGAAGAAGGAAGCTATAGCGAGCATAGCGAGGGGGAACAGAGCGAAGAAGAAGAAGAAAGCGAGGAAGAAGAAGAGGAGCATGACGAAGAGCCTGCTGGATCGGAGTGGGAAGCCGTGCCAGAAGAAGCGCTGCGTACGGGTACGGGGGCTGAGGATCCCGAGGCGGCCCGCAAAAGAGAAGAGATCGAGGCCGGGAAGGAGTTGGAATTCGCAAGCGCGGCGAGTCTGCGCACCCACGACGACCCAAGCTGGGATCCGGAGCCGCCCTGGCCTGAAGATGGCGACTTCACAGCCACGACTCCGACCCCATCAGCGCGGCGACGAAGCCGATCCCCCTCCTCCTCAACCCGTCCCCCAATTCGCCGACGTACCGATACGGGCGATCGGCCTTCGTCCCCGATCACTCTCTCGTCGTCCCCTTGACTACCTCACCCTCCGCCAGCTCACCACTCCCATTACGTTCTCCTCCAATCCGTTTCCCCGCGACACCTTCCGCCACTTCTACTCTGCTCGCCTCGCTACAGTGGTGCACCCCCACCCCTCCATTCGATGCGCCGTCCCAGCCTTCTGCCTCCATGTCCTGCTCCTTAGTGCCGCGTGGCGAGGTCACAACATGATCGAGGTTTACTGCGTGATAACGGGGACCATCCCCGCATGCGAAGATCACGATCGTTTCCGCATGGCACTTTTCCGGACTTTCACCAACCTCTATCCTGATTATCTCATATCCCTCCCTCGCACTGGCAATAGCTTCCCCCGCTTTCACCGCATCGTTCGCTACCAAGAGCTTCCGGAGACTGTAGCCAGAATGGAAAGCTTTCTGCCCCCGCTACCCATAAACCCTCCACCCCGCCATGCTGCCATGCACCGACTCCCTTTCCCCCTCCCGATTAATTACTGATGCAACCGGTAATGGACGCGTGTCGYGGCGACGGCACGAGAAAGATCCCGTCCTTSGGTCRTCGAGACCCCAATCTGAGGAATTAGTAGAAGAGCGGTGTTGCCACGTTGGATGACGTCCACATGCAATCAAACGGTAAGTGGCATAGAAGAAAGTGCTCCGCGTGTCGATCAAGTAGAGAAATCGACACGTGTCAACAAGCAAGCAGGAGTTTGCTAATATTGGAACCCCCTGGGCGTCACATATGTGACGAACCACTTTCTGCAACRCGCGATTTTCTGCGMGGTCGCAATGAGGGGTCCTAAGCTKGGAAGATTGGGCCAATTTTRGGAGATCGGGATCGGTGGAGAATTGCATCAGTATCCTCGYTGTTTCGTCCTTTTTCATCGTCTCTTTTTSGAATGGCCGGRCACGGGGTCAGGTGTGTCTTGGGATGGCCGGTTGATTGATTGGTCRGATSKTTGTCTGGYGCGACGCCACRCGCKCGYGCAATTAATAAATGTKGACGTCGTTTCWTTCGGTTCGATTTCGATCTTTTGGGCRYGGACATCGCGMGRAAAATTGCTTYGTTCTTTTTTAATTTCCTTTTAAATCTTTTTCGAATTTTGTCGAGCCCCCGATGGCTTTTGGAACTTCGGATTTTTCTTTTGGAATTCGTGCTTCTTTTTGCTTTTTCGCATTAGAAAGGAATTTAGGAATTTAGTAATTACTATTTTTCCTGCCGCACGACRCTTTTTCTCTACGCGCTTCTTCATGCGGCCGCAACGGCACTCTGATTAGTGGGCGCCCTTAATCGTGTGTGTAACTGTAATTTTGGGCGGRCGCTATTGYAACTGTATCTTTCTTCTTGCASTTCGTCTCTCCCGCCYTCCCTCTCTTTCTYTTGCTGAAATTTTGTAAGCCGCGWCTTACATGCTCGGATCGATGYGTGGAGAAGGGTTACGTCCCCCACGCCKCGGCCGATCATGCARAACRCAGGCGTTCCCTCTCTAATCCTCACTCKAAGTCTTAGTAATTYCGTGTTCTTCMCGCATGCATGCACGYTATAAATTTTGGCAGCGCGATTAGTCAGCTCTCTTAACCCGTTGTTGGAAGCTCGGGGTTGCGCGATCAGGAAGGGTCGGCACACGAGCGAAGTAAGAGGTGAGTACAGTAGGAGTTGGGCGACCCGRCGGGCTGGTGCCGAACSCGCGGGATTGACGTGGGCCACGACGGACTGTGGGYAYGGGCGAATCCGACGGGTRCGGGAGGACTAAGCGGGGTGACAACTTCGTGGGTTGGTGCGTGACGACGGACTGTCCGCATCGGCGAGAGAGAGAGAGAAGAAGAGAGTTGAGGYCGATGGACGCGGATTTGCTGTTTTCTTGTCTCTTCCCCCTTTTCACCTGTGTACATACATTTTGATTACGGCTCCGGGCGGTTTGCCYGTTCTTATTTTTGKTTCGGCTTTTCTGAAATCTGAGTTTGGGTTTTTGCTCACACTTSTCCTTGCGATRTCCGTCTTGCTTGCATTATGTGTATGATTGTCAAATGTATGGATGTATGGATGATGGGACTGTTTGTCTATCTTTTTGYTGAGAATCCYTGTCCTTGCGTTATGTCTGTGTTGAATCTTCGCGTGCACCTGATGTCGYTGTAGATGGGATAAGAATCTGGCCCYGATAGTGGGTTTGTTCTCATTTTTGCTTATCCCGCGATGGGGGTTGCRATATGATTGCATCTTGCATAATCGACGATCCGAAGTCTGGTCCCGCGAACGCYGCGCRAGAACACGCGTAAACGCGATCCGAGTCGCKCCCTTACACRCATTMYCGTGCGTYGATTCGATCACCCAAAAAGGATTCGCGGYGGAACCATCATCCCRTACGAGCACGTTGAGGCGCCACTAAGTCTGCCTSCCCTACACGTGCTCGTGCGCGGTGACGATATCYCGACCCGCGCTATCCCACCGACGATGATACCATGAYGTGATCTTGGGGCTCAGACTCATCCTATGACCCGGACTATTTCACCCCTATAATAAACGAGCTCATAAGGACACGATACCCCTGTCACACGGAGAATCGGCTATGTCCGCGGGAATTCCACTGTGCCACCTCTAGCGACCCTCGGTGCTCCGATTTCCCTTTTCCCGACCACACCTACTACTTCACCCACCCGGGATTCGTTGAGATCACTACCAGTTTCCCTCCTTTCCGCCTCCTTCTCCGGTATCATCAACTCAGTGTCGTTCCGTGGCCGGCCATAGCCCCCTATTGGCCCAATACGTTTTGCGTGAACTGCCGGCGTAGCGGCGCACAGAGGACTCCGGAGTTCCGACGCCCAACCCAAGTACGCGGCGGCCTGCGCCACGTGGCGGCCCCCGACGGCCTAACTTTCCGGGACCATCTCCACCATGGAGGAATTTTCTCGTAACCCGTCACCCACAGGGTCCCATCCCCTTCGGACTGTGAGACCCTTGTGCGCGCACCCCTCGTTCGCCTAATTGCATTCATACCCTTAAGACTCCCCCACTTCCCCTAAAAATCCTTGGCACACCCCTTTTCGCACTTCCAGGCCCACTCCGATCAGGAAGTCGCGCTGGGCGTGAGGCAGGGCGTCACACTCCCAGCCCTATGGTTATATATATGTGTGTGTGTTCTGTATTATATAGGTATGTGCCCGTAGGCTATGTGTATGTTTGTAATGTATGTGGACCTGTAGTGGACAGTGCTCCCCACCATGGAGCATCTGCTAATGAGTACCAGTGAGAGGTGCTCCTCTCACCTCCACTTGTACCTGTGTGAGCTATATATGTGTAGGTAGTGTGTATAACCCCCTAGAAGCACCTTGCCTCGACGCAGTGGAGGGGCGACCCTATGCGCCCTTAAACCACCAGTACTTCCTAAAGTCGTGCCCGTTAAACCACCAGTACCTGGCCCAGCTATCGAGTCCGAGCCTCGGCTGACTGGTACGCCGATCCTTGCCGAGGCTCGGACTACCGGGCGCATGCATCCCGAACGTCGGAGTGAAACGAATGAAAAAAACGGAAAAAAAAAGAAAAAAAAAACGAAAAAAAAAAACGAAAAAAAGTATGGCAGTGTATATTCCCACGCTATAGCGCCAGATTCATTCGATTTTGCTCATCCTATGGAGGGCGCAGTACCATGAGGCCAGCCGCGACGAGAGAGAGAGAGAGAGAGAGAGAGAGAGAGAGGCGGCGACCTCGCCGCCCCTCTCTCTCTCTCTCTCACACACACACATACACTCACACAAAAACAAGTATGGCAGTGTATATTCTGACGCTATAGCGCCAGATTCATTCGATTTGGTCATCCTAGCAAGGGCGCAGTACCATGAGGCCAGCCGCGACGAGAGAGAGAGAGAGAGAGAGAGAGAGAGAGAGAGAGA